ACCTTTTTATCTATTATATACAGGGGTGGATCTAGAAATTTCTATTAAGGTGTGCCAAAATAAAAACTAATTGTGCATTAATATTTTTATCCATTAATATTTATGCTATGATGGGTCAAAATCCAGAAATTGTACATATTAATTTTTTTTTAAAAAAAATTTGAGGGTGGGCCATGTAGTACTGCATCTGCCCCTGATTATATGTATTGCATGAGAGCATTCTGCCTTGGCAGAGATTTTTCCCTACTATAGTAGGATTCCCAAGGGGCAATTTATCATTTTTTGTGAATATTGAAGCATAGAAGCGGGGTTAATGTAAGGTTTAAAAGTTTGGGACAATAAAGGACAAATATTGGGTGTAAATAGATACTTTACAAGGTATTTTTGAAATTTTTTGAGTATTATGCCTATATTTACATGATCTTTGCACCGTCACTTTGCTCAATTTGTTCACATGGGGTAAGTTCATTGTCAAGAACTTGCTAGATTGTCTCATAATGGCTCCAGTCTGAACCTGGTTGAAAGGGATGAGTTAAGAGGAGCACAAAGAAGTTATTGTGACAGACATTATAGGGTTCAAATGTGACAGGCATTATAGGGTTCAAATGAAACATTATTCAAGAACATGTAATATCATGTGATTTTCCCTTCTCTTTTAACCACACAAGGTGATCACTAACGTCGCAGGCATTGGTGAGGTTGTCATATTACCTATTTGATCTATAAGTTAGCGATTTGAGAAAATATAAATCAAGTGAATGCTTGGAGAGTATGTAATGCTTATGTTGCGTTAATTAACGAAAAACATTATCTAGCCCTTTACTTGTCGTTCAAATTTATAGAGCCTTGGTTTCAATGTTTAATATTATGTTTTTTGGGTGCTAACAATATTAATTAATCGCTTGTGTCATGAGCTTAATGTGTTTTGTTCTCAGTTGAAGATAATATAAAGAGATAACTATTGAGCACATATGATATACTAATGTTGCCTCCACCTCCACCACCCCCCCCCCCCCCCCCCCCCAAAAAAAAAAAACGTACCTTTCAAACGTAGTATGAATTGTGATTCTATCCTTAAAATCATTATCTATTAAATATATAACTTTAATGGATCGTAAAATAAAATATATCAAAATTTTATTGGTTGTTAATCTCAACGTGTACTAAGCTTATCTGGATTTACAAATCAAACTTTTGATTATTGGTCTGATCCATTTTCTCATTAAAATAGGAGAAGCTCTTTGCATAGATGTTCCTCTTGCATACAAACTGGGCCGCCCCAAGGGGTAGGCAGGTAAGGCATTTGCCTAGGGCCACCAAAAAAAAAGCCCCAAAAAGGGATCCAAAATTATTTTAAGATTTTTTAAATAAATTTATAGAAACACCATTGGATCTAAAAAAGTTTATAATTTTTTATTTAAACCGGTCCAAAAGGCCCCAAAAAAGCCAAAAAGGCCCAAATTCATTATAATTTTTTTTACATAAATTTACAAAAAACCATGTTTCATATTTTCCATTCACACCCCTAAATTAACTAAACTAGTTTTTTAAATGCCTAACATTTCAAAACACCCATTCAATCCCTAAAATAATGAAAACATTGCATTTCCACCCCTCTACACTGCCATAGTGTCGCTGTCAGCGTTAAAGTGATGATTCGAGTCAATTTTTTTACCAAAATCGATCGGATTCATCACTTAATCATCTCCAAAACGTTTTCCTAGCCTTGACAACCCCCAATTTGGCCCATTTTTGTTGATTTTCGCAACCCATTTTCATTCTTCACTGTGTGCGACAACCATTTCCGGCACTTATCTGTTGTCGTTGACCTTCCCTGACACCACCATCTTTGTCCTCTCAGCCCCCTCCCCAAAACTCCTCACTTACTGACCCCGGTAGCCCGCCGTCCACCTCTCGCCCTCATAAGAAAGATTAGGTAATTTGGTTATATTATCAATTGAAAAAGATTTGGTTTCTAAGCTTGAATATAAAAATTTAATTAGTGATTTTGCATCTCAAAAGGCAAGAAAAATAAATTTGAAATAATTTTTTAATATATGCTTATATTATTAAACGGGCCCCAAAGTAACTCTTATCTAGGGTCACAAATGTTCTTGAGACGGGCCTACATACAAACTTGAAACTTGTACAAAGATAATATTTTTATTCCTTGCGTTGCAAGAAGAAGAGGAAGATTCATACCAATTCGCTTATTGAAACTTTGGCACCTCTTCACATTCACAATTTTCTTCTTGATAGAATTTGAGGTGGGCCTGACTCCTCACCCAATAAGGCCTTGTTGAATGGGAGGATTACCCTATCTTGTAAACCAGTAGGCTTGAGCGTGCCTAGTCGGTGTGGGACTCTAACACTCTCCCTCATGATCAAGCCCGTATGTTGGGTTATGCCTGTTATTGAAGGTAGTTGTCGAATCTAACTCCTCACTCGCTGGTCAAACACTCAACTCAACTGAACCTGGGTTCTGATACCATGATAGAATTTGAGGTGGGCTTGACTCCTCATCCAATAAGGCCTTATTGAATGGGAGGATTACCCTCTCTTATAAACCAGTAGACTTAAGCGTGCCTGTGGAACTCCAACACTTCTCAACTTCAACATGAAGACTGAGGAGTCCACTAAAGTCGTCATCCTGGAAGGTATCTTTTATTTAAAGTGTGAATTTTAGTCTCTTGGGCTGATTAAAAATATATTAGGTTGAAATCTCATTCATGCAATTTCGTCAGGATTTGATTTATAGCTAAAAATTTTAATTTTTTTTAATTTATTTATGTGTTACGAGGTATCAATAGTAATCAAAGTATTTATCTATAAGACTGATGACATAGGAAGATCTTTTCCATTCATGACAATTAGTTTTACCAAAAAGTTCTTGATTGTTAAAGTAAAAAAATATGAAAGTGCTTAATCATGCTTTAACTCTTTTGGATTGCAAGTCAAGAGTCTAAAGTTTAGTGTTTAGAGCTTTCGGCATTATAAATCTTTTTGTTGAACAGAGAAATAGTGTCAAATGAATACTAAGGATTGTAAATTAAAGTGACATATAGGAATCTTTTGAATGCAATATAAAGATTAGTCATTCTTAAATGCGGACGTTCTAAAATTTTTAACATGCGAACGAAATGTGAGTATCTAGACGCTCACTTTACAAACCCTACAATCAAAAGTAAGTAACTAGATGCTCAATTTTGGTCTGCATGTTAAAAGTTTCAGGACGTCTGTCTGAGAGAATTTCAATATAAAGATTGCATTAGTGTCTTAATTTCTTGCTTTGGTCCTTATGGTTGGAAGGATTATAAACTCCCTTATCTGTTTTTTTTTTTTTTTTTTTTTTGTTCTTTCCTTCCTGCAGGCGAACAGCCGTTTGCTCCAACCCAGGCTTTAGGTCCCAGAAAGTTCTTATCGTTGCATAAACTCAAGGATCCAGAACAGGGTTTGTTGGTGGATGGCGTTTGCATCATTGAAGCAGAAGTTACTGTGCTTGGATTTTTTGGAACAGAGTGATGAAATCTTTTGCTAAATTTCCCAGAATACTTTAGCTAGAATGATGAGATAACGTCACTTTGATTATAGGATGATGAGATAATTGAGATAAGCGTGACTACTTTTAAAGTTGAGATTATATCTTTGTTTACGTACCATTATTGCATTATTGAAACAATCATGGGATAAATTATCTTATTTTACTTGTTGATGAGGAGGAGATAAATAATCTTATTTCAATTGTTGGGCAAGTAGAATCAGATTTAGCCTCTTTCTTACAGACTTGAACAAAATGATCTTATTCATTCCTTGCCTCTCTTAAATGGTCTTCTTCATTCCTTGCTTGCAACAAGAGGAACTCAAAAATAAAAACCGTGTCTCAAGCCAAAGCGCCTATTTAGACTTAGCACCACTCCAAATTCACTTGTCTTTTATCAACGACATGAACACCGAGGACTTCTCTGAACTTGCCTATTTTTCTCCTCTCAACAACATGAATGATGGCGGCTTCATTGAAGCCGCCATCTTAAGAGGTACATTATTTTAATTATATATTTTGCCGCCAGTTAAGTATATACAAAGTGCAAAATTAAAGTCTCTGGGTTTTGGTCTGTACGTTAAAAACTTCAGGACGTTTGCGCCTGAAAATTTTCACACCACATATATATAACATGTAAAATCGTACTTCATTTTTCATGCTAGTGCTTTGGTAGTTGTATGATGTTAATTAGTGGGCTTTAATGATAAGAGATGAAGATTTTTAACCGGAGTTGTTCACTAACTTTCATATATTGAACTATTTACTTTCTCTTATAATTCATGGAACTAATTAAAACTGTAATAAGTTTTATCCTCTTCAGGAAGGGATGCTCTGCCTAGTCATTTCTTGTTCAAAATCGAGTCTTTCTCATTACTAAAAGCTTCAGTTGATATATACAGAACGAGCCAATTTGAAGCAGGGGGTTTCAAATGGTATTTTATTTCTTGGTTGAAATGTTTACTAAAACAGTTTTATCTGTTTTCCATAGTTTTTAAATATGCTTACTTGCCAAATTAGTATCAAGACCTTTCTTTGTTTCAGTTTACCATTGGACCTGGTTTTACAGGAGATTGCTGATATACCCAACAGGGGACTCTAGCAAAAACGGGGAAAATCATATCTCCATTTACCTGGAATTGATGGAGACAAGTTCTCTCCCTGCAGGATGGGAAGTCAATGTGATTTTCAATTTTCTAATATTCAATCAGCTTCAAGACAAGTATGATAGTCTCCAAGGTAAAGTGCTTAAAGACTAACCGCAGAGCTCATACGAGGATCTATTTTTTATATGATTCGTTTGCATCAACTTGTGGTACCACATATTCTCTCTTACTTTGACAGGGTAAATTATACAGATAGAATGACGATAAATCCGTTGCCTAAGTTTAGAAATTGTTATTCTTTTACACTCAATAGATTCATTAATGTTTGTGATGTAGATGGTAGAGTAAGGAGATACCATGCGATGAAAACCAAATGGGGTATCACCAAATTCATAGATCTGAAAGCATTTCATAACCCTCTTAAAGGATACCTTATAGATGATACTTGTGTCTTTGGCGCCGAGGTTTTTGTTGTCAAAAGTACTTTTAAAGGGGAGTGCTTATCGATGATCAAAGAACCTGCTACATGTTACCATCTTTGGGAAATCACAGAATTTTCAACTTTACTTGATGAAAAATATTTGTCTGAACCATTTGGAGATTATAACTGGTACAAATTCACTTCTGATATGCAATGGCTTTTATTTTTCTTTGCTAGATAAACCACTGCCTGGGTTGATTAATATTTCGTTAATGCAGGAGAATTTCGCTCTACCCTAATGGACATGCAGAAGGCAAGGGCAACAGTATTTCAATATTTCTATCGTTGTACAAGGAAAGCATTCCTCCTAGTACTAAGTTGTTTGTGAAATCCATTCTGCGTGTCAAAGATCAAACAAAAGAAAATCATGTCAATATTATATGTGAGATTCCTTATCGTTTAACTTCAAGTAGAGCTTATGATAACATAGTTTTTTTCTCATACATAAACTAATCTCTTTAGGGTTGCAAGTCGTAAACCAGGAGAAAAAAAATAAAATAAAATAAACCTGAACTGGCATAGAGAAAAATTTGAATGCAATATAAAGATTGCATCAGTGCTATAATTTCTTGTTGTAACTCCCTTTCCTGTTCTTCATTTTTTCCTTCCTGCAGTTCAAACGGTTTTTTCTCCACTCCTGGATTGGGGTGCTAGAAAGTTCATGTCATTGCATAAACTCAAGGATCCAAAACAGGGTTTCTTGGTGGATAACACTTGCATCATTGAAGCAGAAGTTACTGTGCTTGGGTTGATTAAAACAGAGTCATGAATATGTTGATAAATGTCTCAGAATGCTTTAGATATAATTATTTGGTTTAACTTGGCTTGGCCTTTAGCCATATATATGCTGCTATTATGTTATACTTCAATTCAAACTAGTTCTGTTCACTTTGTGCAATTCGTTATGCATTTAAGTGAAAGACTATAGAATCCAATCCATCATAGTAACTGAAATGCTTGAGACAAATAATGTTACTGACATTATTGGTACATGATATTACATGAAAAATTACATGCAATATAGTTTTATTGCAATCAATAAGTAATGATGTGAATTCAATTCATATCACTTTGATCAATTATATGGGGTGGTTCTGAACTAGAAATCAAAGGCAGGTTCATTATCAGGGAGGGACTCACCGGATTGTCATATAGAACTGTTTCAAGTGTGTTTCTATTAGTCCATAAGCCGATCCATGAGTAGTTTGACGATGGATGGAGCATCAACTGTGACTGCTACCTTTACTGTAGGTTTGTCTGACCACTCGGTGACCTCTGCAAATCTGGTTCAAATGGATGAGTTAGTAGGAGCACAAAGATGATGCAACAGATGACAGATAATACAGACGTCCAGTAGTGCCTATTTACGACCACGAAAAAAAAAAAAATTTCGAGAAGTACTTAATTTCATGAAATTTTAAGTTCTAGACTGACTTCAGCCTATAATGATGTCTACGCACATTGTTCATTTCAATTTCTTCGAAGGAATTAGCATTGTTTAATGTCAAGCTCTACTAAGTCATACTACTGGAAGAACCACAACAGCAAAGTTTCTCAGCTTCACTTTAGACACCTGATATCAGGGTATAAGCAGAAACTAGGGGGTAGCTGATAATTCAATTGTTCTTATAAAAAAATGCTACAAGATGTCTCNCACCAATGATTTTTGATTATGCTATAAAAACCATTATCTAATATTTCTGTATCGTGTATAGACATATAAAGACATTCTATAGAGAATTGAGAAAGGTTTATAGGAGTTTTAAAATAGTCATTGGTCTCCCATATTTCATTTATTGTTTGTTGTTTGCTATAATTAGTGTTTCTCACAGTTACAAAAGACATGTTTTTGCACCATCTTCTTCTAATAAAAACCCGTTTATGTTTTGCAGAGAAAATAAATTATAAGCATCCTAGTCAATGAGAGGATTTGACATAAATTTCTTGCTAGAAATTGTGTAAAACTTGAATGTTGGCTACGTGAAAATGTTAGAGTTCCGATTGGAAAATTTTAGGTATTTAAGGGGTATAAATTGTTACTGGAAATTTTACTTTAAGCGTGTATAGGTGTTGCTTTTGCTTTCATTAATGTTGGCTGAATAACACATGATTTTATACGTTAAAGAAGAAATCGCGCTATAATCGTGCCTTAGTCGTGCTATAATAGTTTATTATATCTAAGTCAACATAATTCTGATGATATTTTGAATTTTAAGTCAATTACACACGCAGTCACACTAGAGTTCTCTCATTCATCTTTGATTTGGTAGGTTATTGTTTTATGGTCTAAAAATGACTAATTTTCTTAATCAAACTCCTCATGGTGGTAGTGCTCAAGTTAACGATCAGCAAACTCCCTCTAGTGGCAATGATGTTCATGATAGTCCACCACCGAGCCAAACTTTAATTAATAATACTTCATTCTTCTCTGCAGCAAGGAGCCTAACTCTTGGGGTAAACAATGTCCATGAAGATAAATACGCCAATGTCTTAGTGATGGGAGGTCATATAATTTCAACCATTGTTGTAGTTTCGGCGACTAATTGCAAATATGAGATGTCTAGTAGAGCGAAATACCTATTATATTTTCTTATGTCGTGCATCTTATATCTTTGTCAGTTTACTAACCCATTTCTATGCTTTCTTTCTCTTTGGGTACAAGAGAGTTGTAGGGATTATGAGGGCAACTATAATTGTTGCCACAGACTTCAACCTTCTTACTACAACTGGGCCTTATATGCCAAACAAGGTGGTTGTCTTGTAACTATTGGTGTTTTAATTGTAAGTGCACCAACGCTTTTTGGTTATGCTATAAAAATCGTTATCTGATATTTTTATATCGTGTATAAAGACATATAAAGACATTCTATAGAGAATTGAGAAAGGTTTATCAGAGTTTTAAAATAGTTATTGGTTTCCCATATTTCATTTGTTGTTTGCTGTAATTAGTGTTTCTCATAGTTACAAAAGACATGTTTTTGCACCATCTTCTTCCTATAAAAATCTGTTTATGTTTTACAAAGAAAATAAATTATGAGCATCCTAGTCAATGAGAGGATTGGATATAAATTTCTTGTTGGAAATTGTGTAAAACTTGAATGTTAGTTGTGTGAAATTATTATAGTTTCGACTGGAAAGTTTTGGGGATTTAAGGGGTATAAATTGTTGCTAGAAATTTTACTTTAAGCTTTTATAGGTTCTATTTTGCTTTCATTAATGTTGGCTGAATAACATATGATTTTATACGTTGAAGAAGAAATCGCGCTATAATCATGTTATAATCGTGCTATAATATCTGCTAAAGATCCTTTCTACTATGTTTTCCAGATCTAGGTTCAACTGTTGGGCATGAAATTTTTCCTTCAGATTCATTTTTCTTCAGGTGTCGTTGTCTCCAACTTCACATAAGCAACTGTTAGAACCTAACTCCTAGCATGTCTAATTTTTCCAGATCTAAACTTAGTAACTAGCATGTCTACTTGCACTTTTAGAACCTAACTCCTGACTTCAGGTTTGGAGTTGTGTATTCCTTGTTGAAATTACAATACAGAGTTTGGGAGATTCTAGCTGTTGCCACTGTTAATCAAGGTGCATTTTTTTGCTTCTCTGTATAGTTTCTTNCTTAAAAAGAGTTTAGGTGGGTGTTAAATAAAACCACGCAATTATTATAATTGTAGTATCTGAAATTGGTATATGCATTATGGTAAAAAAGTAAAAACAATGAGTTAATTATCAATTAGACCCTATAGTTTGGGTCCATTGTCAAGACACCTTTATTTTTATAACTAGAATAATATTACATATACAAACTCATTCATACAAACTGATATATTAAAACTAGACCTGAAAAAACGGGTCCAGACACACGAGTCGGCCCGTACCCGAGTAAAAAATATAGGGCATGGGTCCAATATAATAAACCCATTTTTTTAGACCCGTAACCGACCCGGCCCGTATAACTGATGGGTTATATGGGTGAACTCGCGAGCACCCGCGCGTACCCGTTTTTGCAAATCTGAAATGAATCCCTAACCCCTAATTTTATCAGGCCTCTCATCTCTCACTCTCAATAACTCTATCGCGGCCGCATCTCATCTCTCAGACTCTCAGTAACTCAATTCTATCCCGTCTCTCAATCTCTCATCAATCAACTGAGTACCTCCCTCTTTAGTCTTTGCCATCTTCTTCGTACCTCAAGTTCAACTCCCTGTCTCCCTCTTCGATTAATTGCCAGTTCGTCACTCATCAGTCATCCAGTTCGTCATTCCCATTCTTAGTACTACAGTTGCCGGTCGCCGTCACTCATCCTCATCGGTTGGTCATCTCCTCTCTCTCACATCGTCGGCTGGTAAACAATTGTCTTGGTTTTTCCGTTAAGCATTAAAAATTGTGTATTTGTTTTTGTTTTTTTGACAAATTTTGTGTTTTCTTTTTTGATTGAATGGTTAATGTCGGTTATTGCATATTTTGTATTTTAATTTTTGTTTGTGAGATTAACATTGTTTACACTTATATTATTGTTTGGTTGACCTTTTCCTGTACGTCGATCTATGTAGAGTTGTTTTCGTTGAGTGTGTTTGTGTTGAGTTCCCCTGGTTAATGGGTTTTGCAAGTGGGGTTTACTTAAATGTATAAGGGATGCATGTTGTGGTTCAATTCGAACTTTAGTGCTACAAGGATTGAGACGGGAATTAACCTTCTGCTGGAATATTTTTTTCCTGCCCTCGCAAAAATCAAGATTGTTGTTGCTATTACATAATATGTATTAACTAGTTACATGCATGGCATTAACATGTAAAAGCTCCTGCTATCCCTCTTAGTTTTTGGTTGAAGACCGAGTGAAGAATTTGGCATGAATTTTTGTCTCTAAATTTTTTATGTTTGGCCAATTTATTTAACCTCTAATTTTCCACCTTTGTCAGGGCTTTCTAAGCTAAAAGAGTTACAAATTTCCAACTGTAATATTACAGATTTTGGAATTTCTTATTTAAGAGGTATTTTACAATTTGCTTTGTTTAATTATTTTTTAGTTTTATTTTCATCTTTGTAGATCATGAGCATTAGTGTTTGTAAGAGTATTTTAGAAAGTTTATTTCTTATAAATAATATGTACTGAGATCAGGGAAAGTTTGTGGTTTATACACTACTTTTTGCATACTTCTCCTTGTAATCTAAATCCTAGCATGATATCCATGCTAAGTTGACTAGTAGTCTTTTGTTCAAGTTCCTTCATTATTGAGATGGCAAAGCCTGATCCTAACAGTGTGTTGATTGGTCAAAAAATGCTTTTTTTATTCAGCTTTTGTGTTAGTATGGGTTTTAGAACTCTGCAGATGGAGGTATGTATGGTGGCCGTGGGCTTCAAAGGGTGTGGACTGCCTCTTTTGTAATGCTGCTGCCTGCTTGTATTGGTCTTCTTTTTCCCTTTGTTCACATGGTGATTGGGCCAACATGACTACCTGTTAAATCTCACTGAAATGAGTATCTGAATTTAGCAATCCATTTAAGGGAATGAATGACTGAAATTGGAAAGTGGAAAAGATTATGATAATTGGAGTCCTTATATCCTTGGCTTTTTGCATACAAACATCATAACTGTCAAATTTGTAATCTTCCATGTCTTTTAGCCATTTTCATTTAAAGCTTCTCAATCCATGAACTCCTATCACTTCATTACCCATTTTATATTTACTTATTTATTCGCTAATTTATGATCAATATTGAGTCTATATTGACTTTCCTTCTCTTCTAATTCCTTATCAACATTCTTAAAAACAGAAGATTTTGTGAAGATCTCAATCCATTTAATTAAAATACCCAATTTCTTATTTGTCAAACAATTAAGGCCTTAATCAAACTATCTAGACTTCGATCATAATATTTGCGCCACCCACTTTGGATTTCTTTTTTATTTTTATATGCTAATCTTTTTACTTATTTCTTTAATTCTTATAGCCACATTTAATCATCTTATCATAGAGTTCAATCTCATGTTCAAATTCTTCTCAAATAATCAATCTCAATCACTACTAATTATTAGATTAATTAAATCAACTTAGGGTGCTTGGCCAAATGGTTAATTGATATTATTATTATTATTATTAAAATAATTAGATTAAATTAAATTAATGAATTAGGGTTTGATATAGAATGAGACATGGAGAAGCGAACAGTAGTAATTGAAGGCACTAATACTTCGTGGGGTCCAATATAACATGATTCCTAAGAAAAATGTTGGAATGTTTATGTACCTGAATTAAGTCAAAATTTCCCATTAAGTGCTATTGATGCATGATTTTGACACCAACAAAACACACGTATAAGATGCTGAGCTGGCCAGAAGACACATGTGAAAGCAAAAGAATCAAGATAAAATGTAGTGGGAAAAGAGTTTTAAAGTGGTTCAAATGCTAAGGAAGCAAGTCCTATGTCCACTGATGTTTGTATTAATAATAAGGGTCAGGTCGATTTAGCCGACTAACTTTACAATGATAATACAAGATATCAAATGTTGTCTTTTCTAGAGAGAGGGTAGCTCATTAGAGTAAAATGTGGCAATCCCTTAAATGA